AGTTAATATTTGTTGTTTGCGTTTCATTAGATAGGTTTTTGTATATGGTTTTTTTGTAAGTACGGGTTTTGTTCATGAATGATGTGGCATTTTTATTTATGGTGTTATCAACTGTAGGAATCCATTCGTCGGAGTCTGATAAACCATTAGAGTCGGTGGTGGGGAATGCTTTTATACCGGAGGTCAAAACTTGATATAATTCTTTATAGTATTTTTATTTGTACTAAGAAATTTATGAATTAGAAAATAACCTTAACTTAAGTTAATATTTGTTGTTTGGTTTCATTAGATAGGTTTTTGTATATGGTTTTTTGTAAGTTTGGGTTTTGTTCATGAATAATGTGGCATTTTTACTTACGATGTCGTAGACTGTAGGAATCCATTCGCCGAAGTCTGATAATCCATTAGAGTCGATCGTGAGAAATGCTTTTAATGAAATTATAGTAGCTATTAAAAATATAAGATAAATTACATATCTATTTATAATAATGAAAATACTTAAATTTTTTTTTTTTTTATAGTTATTTCATGTACATAATCTTTTGAAAATATATATTAAGAAATATGTCCTAATAGAAAATATACATGATAGAGCCGTTTTTTTTTTTGTTTTTTGGACTGTTCGTTTTTTATCCATTTTTAATTGTTTTGGGTTTGAGCCCGTTAAGCTGTAGGGTTTGCGCATTGTGAAGCCTAGAAAATCTACTATTATAATATAGATTTATATTTGTACTAAAAAATTTATCAATTTGAAAATAACCTGATTTTAAGTTAATAATTGTTGTTTGGTTTCATTAGATAGGTTTTTGTATATGGTTTTTTTGTAAGTTTGGGTTTTGATCATGAATAATGTGGCATTTTTATTTACGACGTCACGACTGTAGAAATCCATTCGCTAGAGTCTGATAATACAGTCTGATAATTCCTTAGAGTCGATTGTGAGAAATGCTTTCAGTGAAATTATAGTAGCTATTAGTAATGTAAGAGAAATTACATATACATTTAATAAGTAACGGAAAATACTTAAATTTTTTTTTTTAATTTTATTTCATATAGATAATTTTTGAAAATAGATATTAAGAAATATGTCCTAATAGAAAATATACATGATATAGCCGTTTTATTTTTATTTTTTGGACTGTTCGTTTTTCTATCCATTTTTAATTGTTTTTGGATTTGAGCCCGTTAAGCTGTAGGATATGTCACACTATTTTAGGCTTTGAAACAATAAGCCCAAAAGGAAAAAACATAAAAACATTAAAAACAAAAATCCATATGATAATAACACAAACGGAAAAAACCAAAAATACATGCTAGATGCGTGCTTTGAACCCACGCACTTACGAACTTGATTAAGCTCTTTATACCATTAAGCTAAAGTGTAATTCATTTTTTGTAATCATTTTAGTAAGACTATGTGCTTTTAAATATTAAACGCGCGGGACTCATAAAATGCTGACGTGGCGCATTGTGGAGCCTAGAAAATCTACTACTATAATATAGAAGATTAGTACACGAGGGGGATAACATATTGATAAAGGCTGAATAGTATCATCAATAGTAAATTTGTATTTGACAAAGTTTCAATATTTTGTGTATATAGGCTGTAATTTCTCATTTAAAGAATTCATATAACTTATTACTGTAACCAACACTAGGATCTTAATGTTTATATCAAATCTAAAATTTTCATAGTTATATTATAAAAATGCTTGTCATGAGTGACAAATATACTTCACAATACAAAATGAAAAAAAAAACTAAACATAGATAAATATTTGACTACTGATGAATAGTTTTTTTTTTCAATTGACATATGGAAAATAGTTGAATATTTACCTACAAAATTATCTACCTTCAAAATTAAACAAAATGTGGTGGATATTTTTATTTTAAGTTAGATTTATATTTTAAAATGGTAGTAAGAAAGAAATTATACTTACACTATATTTATTTATTTTCCCATTTTACATTATTTTTTTCCTTTAGTGAAAATATAAAATTAAAAATTTCTTAAGAAAATTAATTTAGTAAACTTTACGATAATTATATATAGCCCACACACCAAAGTTTTTCTTATCATTCGCTTCTAGGGTTTTCTGTATGTGCACAATGCCGCCTTTATGTTGCACGATGATGCCGCCTCCAAAACGTTCGCTTCGGGTATGTCGATCTTTCTTTTCTCTTCTGAAACTAAATATCCCGAGTTTAGTTTATCAGATCTTTACAGAATTTCAGTTCCGATATCTTACCCGATATATAATAACAATTAATTGAAGTGTTGATCACATCTCTTTCACCATCAATTTTGTTAAGAAATCAAATATGTGGGTGTTTATTAATTTGATGTAATGCATATAGATCTTTAGATTAGTTTATCTTCAGATGTATTTTTTATATGTGATGTGAATTAGTGGTTTAAGTAACGATTGATTAGGTTCCACAAAATTCGAAGCCGAAATCTGAATCTGAACCCATTTCAAAATAATCCAAATCCAGTCGTCCAAAAGAGCATATCACTAAGGACTTCAGCTATGAGATAATATCCTATTCAGACAAAAATTCGCGCAGATATCCAAAATACCCATGATTATTTAAACTCCTTAACCTATTCTTACCTAGATTTAAAGAATATAGATGTTTTCAAGTGATTTAAAGGATTTTGGATAATGTGTATTGAACTTTTGACTGATTCATGTACTTTTGGGTATTTTGTATAGTTTTATCGGGGCTTTTAGGTAATTCATATGCTTCTGGATATTTTGCTTTGGATTTTTAGGTAATATCGGATATCCAGTAAAATCCGATCTGAACACACTCGAAAAGAGTCTACCTGATACAAAAACTAAAAATATATACGTGCAACTTATGAGCCTAATACCAAAAACTCAAAAATCTGATTCAACTTGAATATGTACCCCAACTTTCACCCCTATTTAACCCTTATTCGGTATGTAGGCAATCTTATATAGTCACTAAATCACTGTCATCTTAAATTTCAGATGCTTGATAATAAATAGTTGAAGTGTTCCAAATATTTATACCTATAGACAAACCATTTTATATTTGGTCACTTTCGTAGCAATCTTTATTGCTCTATTACCTTTTTTCATGTGAAAATGTAGATATTTGAGGTTTATTCATCAGAGATGTTGGGACGATTGTTTCAACTGTAACTCTAGAAATTTTATTGTAGAATTTAGTTTGTAGATTTTTTTGATGTAGCTGTATCTAATGTAACTGTAGAAATTAAATGGAAAAAATGAAAAAAAGATATTCCTACAAAAATGTTTTCTTTTTGTTTTAGAAAATAAAATTCCTACTGCCATTTTTATTTTATTTTATTGGTTTCTGTTTTAAAAACTACTTAAAATATAATTGTTTATTTATATATTTGTAATTAGAAAATAAAGTTAAAACCACTAGTTAAAACCCAACCAACCACCTTTGTTAAGTTTAAAACTGCCTTGCAAGATATGAATGATGCTGTCAATATTTTATCTTGATCTTGCTTTTGTAATTTGCTTGTTGTATGGTCTTGTGTTTTAGGAGGCTCTGCGTGAAACAACACTTTCGAAGGCAAGAGAATCAGCAATACGTGCTCAAAATGTAAATACTTTTCTTTTAATGTTTATTATTTATTTATTAACTGTGGTGTAAATTATTTGCTAGTTTTAGTTGACATAGGGGTGATTTAAAAAAGAATCATGAATTTGAAGTTACTTTAAATTTTCTTACTTAATTTTGATTTTTCAGATTGAAAGAGCGTCAACAATAGATGCTGATACAGTAAGTATTCTTTTCTAAATGTTTGATAATTTATCATTTCTTTCTTTTATAAAAATTCAGATGTCTTGATCTATAAAAAATAAATGGCATTTACAAATAAAAATCGAGGTTATTGAAAGAATAAACTTAAGAATGGATTATTATTTCAAATGAACATGATTTGCGAGTTCTAGACTTCTAGTTGCTGGGAATTTTGACGAAATTATATCTTAAATGAATTTTTTTTTTTGTTGTCATTTTTATGAATTTAAAGTGATTTTGTTACTGTCATTCCACAAACGGATGGCTACAACAATGTTTTTTTGAAGTCAATAACACAAGTAATTTTGTTCTCTTCTCCAATGAATAATGTTGTTCTTTAAATTTCTCCATTCCATAGTCGAAGAAAGTTTCATTGCTACTCCTAATAATCCATTCCACTCCTGAATCTTTCTCCTTAATTTTGTGAAGCATCATAGATATATATATATATTAAGAGGTCTTCCATTTTCATGGAAAAAGTTCATGATCACTATTATGATCGCTGTGATGGTCACTATTGTGATCGCTTGAAATCTATTCTTTGACATTATAGTCATTTTTGTTGGCAGTCGCTTACGACAGTGACTAAGAGCATCCACATTGATGAATCCCCCTTGGGGGTTCATACAAATAAAAAATTATTTTTATTTTTTAATTTTCCTTTACTTTTAAAAAAAAATTAATAATGGATCAATCACTAGCTGACACGTGGTGAATCCAGGGTCATCGAAGTTCAGCGCAGTGAACTTTTGAAAGAGAGGTTCATAGAAATCTGATTTTAATATTATTATTTTTTCTTGGTTTGCGTGTGAACTCCCCCCATCATCTCTTGATTGGGGTGCTTTTTGGATCGTTCAATAATAACCATATAAGCAATAATAACCCTAGAAATGTTTAAACTATATTGATACATTTTGGATCGTTCCTTATTTTTTGGTTTTGTATATTTTCGTAAGTTCTGCCAAATATTTAAAAAATAATATAGAATTTTAACAACAAAAAACTAGTTTACTAGTAAAAAGCTGAGAGAGAGAGAGAGAGAGAGAGAGAGAGAGAGAGAGAGAGAGAGAGAGAGAGAGAGAGAGAGAGAGAGAGAGAGAGAGCCGTCTGACTTCCATGTTTCTACATAACTTATAACGCTAGAAATCACGACGACACAAAGTTCTAGTCTTTGATCGTTACGTCACCGTATGAGTTATATGACCGTGTTATTGCAGGTTAAACACTTAACACCAGCTGTGAATGGTTTGCATTGGCGAAACTCTCTTGAGATTCATAAGCTTCTTAAAGACAATAAAGACTTCTGCATTTATTATAGAAATGGAGAGAAGGTGCAACACACTTTCTTTGTGTATATTCTCCACTTTTTTTTATTCATACATTACTGACTTTGAGGTCTTTCTTTCAGATTAATGTTGAGAAATTAGCAAGAGCGTTGCCTCTTCACCTCCTAACAGTGATCGAGGCTCCTGACAAGTTTGAGTACTTGTTGTGTGGGATCAGACTGTTGCATACCTTGTGCGAGTTAACATCTCGTCACTCTACACTCGACAAGGTTTGTTCTTTAAATTCTTAGAAAGTGTTTTTGACTTTATGTGTCTCTGTAATGGAATAGTAATTAGAGAAATGCATGTTTATATATATATATATATATTTTTTTGTATATTGTGATAGGTCTTGCTAAATGATTGTGTATTATCATCTAAGATGGTTGATCTAGTGATCAATTCGATTGTAGCTCTCGGCGGTAATAGAAAGGTTCACCCCTCTATCTGTTTCTATCTTGTCTCTCAAATTATTTTTCTGCTGGAACCCTTGAATTCTCTTTCGCTCTGTGAATTTGTCTATTTCCATAACAATTTTTTTAAACATTTTATGTCTTTATATATTATATTTGAAAGGCTTTACGTATCATAATTTTCAATCAGGAATTTGCGCGATCTTCTCTGGTTTTTTTTTTTCTCAGGAAAGTTGGAAGTCAGATGACGAATCATTGATAGAAGCTACAATGCTGGCTTCTACTCTTCACCTGTTGCACGGATTTATCTCTCCTGAGATGGAAGATATTGTTGATGTCTTGCTTGCCCACTCTAAGGTATGATGACACGTTAAAATGCAAATATATATGTGGAAAGAATATACTACTTTGTTGGAAGTAAGATCATGCTTATGCTTTGAAATTTTGTGTGTCATCTAGGTTGATTTATTTATAGAAACTGCTTTTGGAGCGGTTCACAATGTTGTGAGATCTTTAAAAGCGAAGTTGCTGTACCGGCCAAGTGACGAGACGAGAAATTTAGGTGTGAGCAGTCATCTAGGGGCCGCTAACTTTCACTGCCAACAAGCTGAAGCTGCTTTGCAGTTCCTTCACTCTCTATGTCAACACAAACTGTTTAGCGACCGTATCGCTAGAAACAAGGTTTCTCTTGACATGCAACACAATTTTTATATTTAACTAATCTCTTGTGTATTTTATGTTATGTTTTTATAATGTTACCAAGACTGATTCTAAGTAGTAGCTTTTTTTCTGGTATTCTACTCCCAGGAGGTATGTGCAAAAGGTAGTCTTCTTAAGCTAGCTGAATCCATACAATCACTAGGGCCCTGTTCGTTTGTACATCTGAAAGATGCATCCAGATGGTCCATCTAGATGTCTTATCCAGATGCTCCATCTTGATGTTGTTCGTTTCTCTATTTCGTCTATATATCTAGATGAATCATCTAAATGTAACTATGTTCGTTTGTTTTTTTTAACTTGCATCTGCATCCAGATGGATTTGTTAATAAAATGAATAAAAGAAATTTGTGTTTACATTTTTAGCTGGAAAATGCATTTTTACGATTTTGATGAAAAATGAGTTTTTCCAGTTTTGCCGGAAAAATTAACGTTAACGATTTTGACAGGAAAATGTGTTTTTACAGTTTTAGCGGAAAAAAAATTTTGGGCGATTCTGGCGGGAAAACGCGTTTTTACCGTTTTGCCGAGAAAACGTGTTTTGCAGTTTTAGCGGGAAAATACGTTTTTATGGTTTTGGCGTGAAAACATGTTTTTGCGGTTTTGATGGGAAAACGCGTTTTTACGGTTTTGGCGGGAAAATACATTTTTACGGTTTTGGTAGAAAATGCGTTTTACAGTTTTGGCGGGAAAACGTATTTTATGTGTT